TTAATTTATTGCTATAATTAAAATATAAAAAAATGATAAATTACGAAATAATTCAAACAAATACTTTCTTGCCTAAATTAATGTTTTCTTTTAAATAAATTTTTTATTGCATCAATATTTATTCAAATTTAAAATGAAGAATGTTGTAGAATATTTATTTTGCTTGCCAAATTTAATATACAATAAAAAAATATAAATGATTATAAGTTCTCAGCAGAGCGTAACAAAAAATACAAATAAAAAATAGAAAATGGATGTTAATGTTAATTTAAAAATATTACATAAGAATTATATAGATTATAAGAGATTAAATTCTATTTGTTTTAAACAAATTAAAGATCTATTTGATTTAAACGAATAGATATGTATGTCGATCTGTAACATAAAGAAGGATGCACACGAGTGAATAATGGACAAAGTCTGTTAATGACGCGAATCGCGCTTCAAGGGTGCTTCAAGAGTACCCTCGTATCATTCACAGGAAGTTCAGGCAGCACGCAGGACTGGCGCGCGATAAACATGTCACTTGCCAAGTATCAAATATTTATCATAAAGCACGCAACTTATGTACTCAAAGCAAAATTTTACATAAAATAACACCTTTTCAGTTTTCCATAAATCCCACATAATTTTATCTATGTATAGATATTTATAACAAATATTTATCATAACACTTTGTTTTATTGTTTGCCATATTTTTCATTGAATTTAATTCTTTTATGCTTCAATAATTTTGCACAACACTAATCGCTAAAACAAAACCACACAAATTTGGGTCAAGGAATGTGAATGTGGATTCTCACATATCACAATGCTTTTTCAAGGATTAAGAAGGGTTAGAGGTTTTTACCGCCAGAGTGGGTCTCCGAGGACCAGGGGGTTAAATCCGGTCCCGTGGCTATATTAATAGCTCTTCTCTCGAATTGATAGACCCCCTTCCGTGGGCACGGCGGGAAGATAACTCATATTTTATCCCCTATTGGTTCCCGTGGGAGTGGATAAGAGTTTGACGACCAGCTGAGGTCGGCTGGCTTTTTCAGTCAACTCGATGAAGGCTCGCTTCGACAGGTTGCTGATAAGGCAAAAGAAGAATAATTTTCTGCACTTATTCGTAAAATGTACGATTTATTTGATACACTTTGTTATCACAGAGACCTTTCCTATTAGTGAAATAAAAAATTGAAGTGAGTTTTTCTTAGCATAAAGTTATACTTTGTACATTTACAAAGAAACCTAATGATACCTTTAATGTTTAGGAGAAAAACATAAATACATTATTTACTTTTATCGCATAAATTCCACATTTAAAAGTACAAAAATTAAATATCTTTTAAAAGTATAAAAATTAGATATCAAAGAAAATTTGAAATTTTTGTGAAATTCCAACAATATTTGATTTTTCAGAGCTGATTCAGTGACATGGAATCCACATAAACTTATGGGAGCTCTGCTTCAATGTTCCAGTATTCACTTTAAGGAAGACGTAAGTTATGAAATTAGACGTTATTAATTAGATAATATTTTCATTAAAACAAAAAATCTTTAAATTACAAAAATTATAAATAATTATCAGTAATCTAATTCAATAGGAAATATTATAAAAAAATATTATTAATACTATTGTATTGTTTGTGTTATATATCATTCCGATTTCTGACACCTTATTTTTCCTTCTTTAATATTTTATTCTTACATGACTGAGAAATAAATATCTAAAATAATAATATGCACAAATAAACAGTAACATTGCACATCCACGTTTAACACATCGGCGTCATACTTTTAGAAATCTTCCCTGTTTCCGAGAGCTGAAATTCCTACATCGCGTAAGGGCAACGAGACAACACTAGTCGCATTCCAAGGGGTAGACCTACGTGCCGGGGCGCTTGGCACTACAGGAATTTAATTAAACTAAGAGATAACATATGTTGCCGTCCGTCTACAGCGCACGCTGTCGGGGAGGGTCTATCTCCCCACGCGACTCAGTTATTGCTAACTCCGAACTTCCCCTTCGGATATTAAAATTCCGTGCACCGGCTGCCGCGAGATATCCAGGGGAGAACGCATCGTGCTTTTGTTGGACCGCGTTGCCATTGACGTTGAAGCGTGATGTCCAAAGGATGCTTTGTTATAACAGTGACAATTGTGTTGTTTCATCAGTTGATACAGGTCTACAAGACGCGTATATGAAAGTATTTATTTTTTTATATTTATGACTATAATAATAAAATAATTATTCTCTTGTCAGCATTAGAAAACAGTAGGCAATAATAATAATGCTTAACATGGGAATTAAAGGATTTTTTCTTAGCTTAAAAATACAGCATTCGTTAGTTATGTAAATCAATGTTATATAAAATTCTCTAAGTGACGTGAAACATTCATAAATAATAAAGCTAAAAAATAATCTTGTCTAAAACAATGGTGGTCAATAATGAAGTGCAACATTGGTGCGGAATATCCGCCATTTTGTAAATTCAATATCCTGAGTATTTCTCCTCACGCGCATGTGTTGAAGTGTCGTATCGACCCAGACGGACTCGCCCTCTTCCTCCTCCGGCGACCTGTCAATCGTAAACCATGCGAAACAATTCCGGAAACGCTTCGTTATCGGAAAAATGTTATAGACATCGTCTCTCGTATGTTTTGAAAGCGAGAGCTGTTTCCATTTTGCAGGGACTACTGATCAGCTGTAACCAAATGTCCGCGGAATACCTGTTTATGACGGACAAGCTGTACGACGTGAGGTACGACACTGGCGATAAGGTCATTCAATGCGGGCGTCACAACGACATTTTCAAGCTTTGGTTGCAATGGCGCGCCAAGGTACAAAATCCATTGTTACAGAAAGGCGATTTTATGCTTTTTCATTAGACGTCAACATTCTCCTCGGCATTATTCTCAGTAATATATAGACTGTATTTCCACAGCGATTGAAACTGGGAAATGAATCTATTATTTTATCATTTAGGGAACAGAGGGTTTCGAGAAGCACATGGATCGGCTGATGGAACTGGCGGAGTACATGGTTAGAAGGATTAAACAAATGCCCGACAAATATTATTTGATCCTCGAACCTGAGTTAGTGAACGTCTGTTTTTGGTATCTACCTACGCGCGTACGAAACATGCCACATACCGCGGAAAGAATAAAAATCTTAGGCGAGGTGCGTTTGATGAATTTAAAGACATACAAAGTATAATGTCTAATAAAGCCGAACAAAGTTCAATTTTAGAAGTATTCTTCCGTAGAAATTTTAGAATAAGAGAGAATTGTTTATTCTTCTAGATATGTCCAATTCTGAAAGGTCGCATGATGCAAGCTGGCACTCTGATGGTTGGCTACCAACCAGATGATCGACGGCCCAACTTCTTCAGGAACATCATTTCCAGTGCCGCTGTAACGGAGGTCGACGTCGATTTTCTCCTGGCTGAGATGGATCGATTGGGCCATGACTTGTAAGAAATCTGTCCATATATAGGCAATGTAGGCATTAATCGTACGATGTGCAGCGATTAGCCGACTGGTACACCAAATCCATGATTTGTCTGATAATGCATTTTTCGCGACACGTTCTAAAAATGTTATAAATTCGAGGATCAGGTCATAAAATTCAGAATCACCAATATGAACGTAAGGCATACGAAGAAATAGACGGTTGTATTATTATGATGGGAGAGAATTTCCCTGGTATTATTTTCTCTAATTTTTCTGTTAAAATGACGTTACATTTTAATAACGTAAATGTCATAAATTATTTATTTTATTTGAATAAGGTTTTATTAACCAAGATTATAATATAATTTTTTGTAAACTTTGTTTTACATAGTGTAAAGATATCAATTTCTAATTAATTTAGTCTATTTAAATTTGATTAGATTGAGCAAGGAAAACATTTCTTGAATTCTTTAGACTATTATGCATTTATCTGTGATTCATTCATAACATGTTTTATAAAATATAATGAATCGGTAGTTTATATATTATAGTTTATTACTATAGTTTATTAGTTCATTAGAAGAATAATTTAATTTGACTCATTATTGACTAGAAAAGACGATGATATTAATGAAAAATTGATGTGTAGTTAAACGCTTCTTTATTCTGCCATCAGTTTGCAACAGCTACCTGCACGTCGAAAAATATATACATAGTATATAAGTTTTCTAGATTTAAACGAAATACACGGCATATCCAAGAAACGAAGTTATGAAGTTACAGAGTTAAAGATGCTTCCGGCCGTAAGCTATGCAGATTTGTTATTTTTTTGCTGCTCGATGCGCGATAATATTTATGCAAGTGATAAAATTTATTGATTATTAATCGAAGCAATAATAGTGTACATCTGCTTTCCAAATGAAACATTTAAATACAAATTTTTATCTTGAAACGCGGATTAGGATATCGTTCAAAATTTACATATTGAAAATTTCATTTTAATGTGTATAATACTTTTGTGCATGACATATCAAGTTATTTTTGAAAGATTTAGTATAAAGTTACAAATGATTCTTTAAATTTATAAAAGAATGTTTTCTTCTTGCAAATATTTTATATTTACGAACATGTTAAATATATTTAATTTGTTAACTAATTTTTGTACAGTTTATTTGAAGTATTCTATTCCACCATTTGCAACTTACGCTCTTATTAAGTCTTCTTTTTTATCTATTGATTATTAGATGTCTCAAATATTTTTGAAGTTAATAGTTCAAATTATTAAATTATCGTTACATAGCTAAAATTGTTTGATAAGCTTGTTAAAAATTATACACAATTAATTAAAGTTGAAAAAAATAAATTCCCACGCATTCAAATAAAAATATTTTTCATAATTTAATCAGAATCTGCAATTTGTCCATAATACACTGGAACGAAAGCAAGTATGTTTTCTGACTGTGTAAAAATCCGTTTAGAATGTAAATTGTAAGCATTGTGGCTAATCTGTCGGAGTTTAAATGTTGCTCTGTCCCCATTGTACGATTTGCAACGAATCGTCAGCCAATAACTACGGAATAGAAAATTTCTATCGCCGTAGCGTTAGGGATAGATAGCACAAATACGACATTATTTTCCATAGAAAATAGATTTAACACCGGACGTTATTCTGTTGGAATATTGACGAAGTTTATAATTTATCGATTGTTTGCGAAAACACCGTTACAAGATGGACTTCATCTATTATATACAAAAATATATGTATATTATAATTTACTGTTAAACAGTTCTAATTGAAAGGAGAGTATTAATATATATTTAATATAGATATTTAATATAGATATATAAAAAATAGTATAAATATATACATATATCGAAACATATATTTAGTGTTGAAATTTTAAGAATACAAAACACAAACCCATGAAGTACATGCTTTTTTGAATATTCGTGCGAACGGTTATCATTTTTATAATTAGTTTGTCTATTCTGTTAGAAATTTGTAATATTATTCAAATGTCATAAACACATTATTGAAAGTAATGATTGCACATCACAATATATTGTGCAATGCAACAATTATTTTCAATATTCTCTTACATTAATTTCCAAGAAAGTATAATCTATAATTTTCTGATATTTATTTGATGATAATTCATTTCCTTTTATTTCGTGAGCATTTGAAATACAAATAATAGATACGTACTACAAACACAGTTACACAACAAATTTATTACGAATGACGCATGATCACAAGCGTTTCGATCTGTTTGACACTTGCAGTAGAACAATTCTATAAATTTCGATTCACTCGCCAATACGGAATAACAAGAAAAAGATGTTTAAGTAAGTAATATGAAATATCTAGATGTAACTACACAAGAATTATAAATGTATTTATGTACACACGCATCTTCGAATCACATCGTGTTTCTTTTTCTGTTGACTGCCGTCGCGACAATTAATTAAGTTTAAACGAATATATTTAGATGGAGAACTGCAGTTAGTGTCGGAATTAAATTAATACAGGATTATTCGAAGTAGAAAGCAATCGATATATCCTGTTACTTGTAATTTAATGCCAAAGATGTCATTCCTATATATTTAAATGAAAGCGCTTGTGGATGGATTATAGCGGGTGATGTCAATTCAATTTGAAACGTTTATAATGTGTAAAATATAAAGCGCATTTTATATATATATATATATGTGCTGAACTCTGCCTCAATGAGATAAGTAAATATAAAATTCATTCAAAAGGAAAGTAATTTATTGTAGTGTGTTGATACTTTTGGTTAAAAAAAAATAAAAGATTTATTTTTCTCTATTTAAAATATATTCATTCTTTATCTGCTCTTATATAAAATTTGTATATAAAAGGCCATTAATAAGAATTTTTATTTGAAATAAAAATATAAACTTTTTTGAATATGTAATTTTATATTACGTAGAAAATATAGAAAAGTTTTTATAAAGTAGTTTTTAAACAAATTACAGCTAATGTTGTCAAAATTTGGAGTACCGTAAAATTAAATTGTATTTGTTGATTCAAAGTTCAAGCAATTTATTTGCAATTATTGCGCCAAAAAAGGGACAAAATGTATTTTTCCAGAAGAAAATTAATTAAATGATTCACATCTGACCAGTAAACCGATACCTGTAAAAAAGAATTCTATCGAATTATTGTTAATTATTATTCATAATTCTATCGGCGTTGCGAGTTTCTTTAGACATAGTTGTTGGCATTGCCGACATAGTAATCAATGCTACTCATAAACGAATCTCTCCCGTGGTTACACACGTCTTATTAATTCCCGTGTGATCGTTTTTTTAAGATTTGTACAGAAATACTCGTCCCTGTAGACTCCTAATTAATTTGCTATAATTAGCAGATATATTGACATTTGGTACCATATTTTCCATAATGTTTTTACGCATATTTGCGATTTAATGTCAGTATAATAGATATTAGTAATAATATTAATGTAGTAAAGTATTAAAATACCAATTTATTTGATAAATTACACTAATAAAATTTAGAAATTGCAAATGTTATATTAATTTTTTGTAGATAATCAGTAAATCATATTATAAAAAAATTTGTACATAAAATGTCATTTAACGCGTGTGAATATTTTACATATTGTTGGCGCGATATAAAATTTTTAATGTAAATTTTTTTTTTAAATAAATATTATATTTAATTCTTATATAGTATTGTGCATATTGAGAAAAAATTTATTAAATCATATTTTATAACATATTTTTTTTCAATAGTATTAATTTAATATTTACTTATGTCAGTAAATAAATTGACTCAATAAAAAAATGATAATTGAACTTAATGATTCTCATATTAACACAACAAATTCTCATATTAAATATACGTTTAAATTTAATAAAAATCTAGTACTATTCAAATATTTATTAAAGTTTAGTACATTTTTTTAACATATATTTAAATATCATGTACATTTTTAAAACACACTACACTACACGATTTACATTTTTGTATAATGCCCTCTTATCACATGTACCATCTCCTGTATTTATAACATATATGCCATCATTCCGCTTTTATAACATATATGTTATATTGCACATATTAAATCTCATTATTATTATATGTTTAAAGCACTGTGCTAATATTTATAAATTTGTTTTGCTTTTTTCGGTCTACATCGACAAGAAATACGTATGTATGTATTCAACTAAATCTTTTACTTCGGTTATGTTAACGAAATAAAATATTGTCTCATTTTGATAAATGTCATTAATATGACTAAGTTCTTTTACTGGCGATTTATCGCGCTGACTTTAAAAATCGTCAATCTCTTAATTATTAGTCTAATTATTAGTCTAAGTTGATAAACGAAGCAAAGCAACAACAAAGTCCCACATCTTCCAAACGATGAGAGTATT